ACTGTTAAAATGACCATAGAGCCTCAACGCCATCTTCCGGTCAGAAGAATCATTAACCATGCGTTTTTATGGTGTGCGGGAATGATATGTTTTACAAAAATATTTCTCATTCGATTTGACTGCAGACATGTGATCGCAAAAATAACCTGCAAAAGCCGCAAATAAAGCTTTTTCTTCATGAACATTTTACTTATCAACAAAAAATCATCATGTCAGAACTCAAAAATTTTACCTACTTAACCGATTTTTTTCTTCGGGGTTCTTATTGTACTCCCCAAGGACTTGTCCACCCCTAAAATGTTTGCACATTGTTATGGGGGTAACATCGTGTATCGTATTCTGGACAAAATTCCAAGTCCATTTAAAATCACGATAGAGCGCCATCTTCTGGTGAAGAATGAAAAGAAGTCAATATGTGTCCAGTCAATACTGGTGTGGCGGATAACCCATCAGTTCTATGTTATGCCCGGCCAAAAAGGTACTGATTTGAGACGATGTGTGAAAACCCGCATTGTTATGGGTGGTACTGCGATTCACCTTCAGTTATTCGTCTTTTGAATTGCTTTGAATACCTCAGGCAAGCAAATTGTGGTGACGAAGATTTGGCTCGTCTTTGAAGACCCTATCGGGTAGAATGTTGTTTTGTTTCATCACCGTACGTATAGGTACATGATTCGGCACCACTGATGATCCTATAAACGCCTTTGAAGCATCGAAATCGACACCATTTTGACAGAAATTATACATTCGAAAGTCCTAATCAACAATTATTGGACCGTAATCCCGCCATATTTGGTCATTTCAGACACGCTATTCAATCGAATTGAATTGTCCGACAGATTTTACGCCTATTGTTTGTGCCCTTCGCCATTTCATGTGCATTAAAATTCCTTAAATGACTATACATTTTTATTTGGGAACCATGTCATTGTTTTCCAGTGGGTTGTTTATGCTTTGAGGCATTTAAATATCAAATTACATATACTCATAAAATGTAATAAGGAATTAAAGACTGAATTGAAACTTAACTGAAATCGAGATTTGACAGGACTTTTTGGGTCCCACAACCCCCTATTACGTTTCCGCCAAATTATATTGGGAACCCTACACACGCTATTCAACAGAATTTACAGTTTTTTATAAACAGTAGCTCTTGATCCCAAAGCCAATTTCGGCGATTTTTTGCACCCTTAAATGGGTCGAAATTTTTATTTGGGACTATGTCCTTCTATTCTAGTGGGGTAATTATTGCAGATACTCAGGTACAACAAATATTTTATAATGCAAGATGAATCAAAGACAAATTTTGAAGTTCAATGAAGTCCTAATCATCCTCCAAAAGACCTAAATGACAATTTACATCCACTTCAGTGGATGTGGTGGCTATGGCAAAACGCGGACTTATATTTATCGAAATGCAAATTATACACAAAGAAATATGTATAAAAATCTCTAAAATAAAGGAGCGGGACCTTTTATGTGATCTATTGAAATACGTGGATCGATATATCTCATTTCCGGAATTGTGATGCTTTAATTTAATCTCTATCGTGATATCAACAGACATGACTAAAGCAACGTAGAATTTTAACTTGGCCAAGAATAACCATAAATGACGGGAGCCGTTGACAAATATTTCGCCATGTTGGTGAAGGGTATACAAATGTATGGCTTTGTTATCTGAAGAGGAAGAAGCGATATTTTATAATTTTTATTGTTTTCTGTATCAACTTTTGTTAGTACTAATTTTGAAATTCCTCCATTTCTCTTACAGAAATGTGTGCTAGCTCTAGTCGCCTTGGTTGCCTGTGTGAGTGCTGATGTCTCTCACCTGGCCGGCAATACTTATTTGCCACCGCATTCGGTATCAGCTCAATCGCGTACCGTCTCATTTTCACCATCATCTGGATATACGGCTGGTAATTTAGTAAGCGGCAGTGGTTTGAATGCTGGCAAAACTGCTTTCTCATCCTCCACCACAACATCAACATCATCAAATCGTGGTTATAACTCTGGAAATACTGGCTACTCTACTTCTACAGCTACTAGAGGTTACAATTCAGGTGCTTATCAACAACAGCAACAAGTAACGGGCACCTCATCCAGTTCAGGCCCAGCTCAACAATCGTTTACCACAACATATAACAGTAATACTGGTTATTCTTCTGGTACTAAACAGGCCGCCTATAGTGCTCCAGCTGTTCAAAAAACCTTCACTTCCCAAACCTACTCTGCTCCGGTTGTTCAAAAGACATTTACAGCTCCAGTTGTAAAACAGACTGTGCAACAGACCTATAGTGCCCCAGTGGTTCAACAGACGTTCAGTTCACAAAAATCGTACACAGCTCCCAGCGTACAACAGACCATTTCTGGACCTGGTAAATCTTATAATAGTTATCAGTCGTATACTTCATCGACGGGAAATCAAAAAACCTATACAGCTCCAGCGGCACAAACTGTAACTTATTCGAGTAATTCTGCCCAACAGGCTTACACTGCCCCGGCAGCACCCATCATCCAACAAACCAGCTCGGCTCCAGGTAAATCATATAACAGCTATCAAGCCTATACCGCTCCAAAGTCTTATAGCACTTCTAGTGTTCAAAAATCCGTTACTAATGTTGACAAAAACTATTTAGCTCCACTTGTCCAACAGCAGACCTATAAATCAACAACCACATCGCAGAGTTATACTGCCCCAACTGTACATAAAACTATAGCTGGACCTGGTCAATCATATAATAGCTATCAATCGTATACAGCTCCTGCTACACAGAAGACTACGTACACTAGCTCTCAGCAAACTTCGGGTGGTACCTCTAAGACTTTCCAATCATATACGGCACCGGTAACACAACAAAAACCCACTACCTATACATCAGGTAGCAGCTCACAACAGACCATTGCTGGACCTGGTAAATCCTATAACAGCTATCAATCCTATACTGCTCCAGCTACCCAAAAGGTTACATATACGACTAGCAACTCCCAACAAACCAATGCTGGTTCAGGTCAGTCTTACAACAGTTATCAATCGTACACTGCTCCGGCAGCACAAAAGGTAACCTATACAGCACCAGCTGTACAAAAGACCTATACATCTTCCACATCGCAACAGTCGTATACAGCTCCTGCCGCTCAAAAGGTCACCTATACCAGCAGTTCCCAAAAAACTAGTTCGGCACCTGGTCAGTCGTATAACGGTTACCAATCGTACACTGCGCCTGCTACCCAAAAGGTTACATATACTAGTGGCTCTCAACAATCCATTGCTGGACCTGGTCAATCCTACAACAGTTATCAATCCTATACTGCACCCGCCACTCAAAAGGTAACCTACACAGCACCCACAGTGCAAAAGACCTATACATCGACCTCGACACAACAAGCCTACACAGCTCCAGCTGCACAACAAACCACCTTCAGTAGCTCCAGTAGCAGCCAAAAATCCTTTGCTGGACCAGGTCAATCATATAACAGTTATCAATCCTACACAGCCCCTGCTACCCAAAAAGTAACATACTCAGCACCCACAATTCAGAAAACTTATACCAGTACCTCGACCCAACAAGCCTACACAGCTCCATCAGCACAACAAACCACCTTCACCAGTTCCAGTAGCAACCAAAAACCCATTGCAGGACCTGGTCAATCATATAACAGTTATCAATCCTACACCGCCCCTGCTACCCAAAAAGTAACATACTCAGCACCCACAGTTCAGAAAACCTACACCACAACATCGACACAACAAGCCTACTCAGCACCACAAGCCACTTACACCAGCTCCACTAGTGGCACCCAACAACAATCTTCAGCTGGCCCTGGCCAATCATATAACAGTTATCAATCCTATACAGCACCCAAAACCACATTCACCTCAACTTCAAGCGGAACTAGTGGTTCGTATAAGGCACCAACATTGCAAACTGTAAGCGGAGCTTCATATACATCGTCCTCATCAGGCGGTACTAAATATGCCGCCAATGGTGGTTACGTCTATTAAAATGTGATCTGTTTCTTCATTGTGATCTTAATTTAACTGTCAGTTCTACGAATATTGGCAATCTCGAATTCGAAATGTTATACGAATTATAAAAAATCGAAATTCTATATTTCTTCTCTACGCTATGGAATGTTAAAAAAATTGGAATATCTTACGAAAAATAATAAAATATAAAATAAATTTTCGAAAATTATTGGTTTTTTTATATGTAGATATACTTATATAAGGGAACCTTCCTAGGTTCGGAATTTTAGTTGTAATTATACCTTACACAACTATTTTCTCAGGGTATTATAGCTTTGTGCAGCCCCAATAACGCCGCGAAATATTGGTCTTAGACTCAACTTTAAGACATGTGTGCCCGTCCGTCTGTCCATACAGGCCACAGTTATGGACCAATCTTCACGAAATTTTGCATCTAGGATGGGTTTTTGGCTATTGTTTTTGATAAAGATCGGCTAATATTTAGGGGATCAAATGGACCAAATACTTAATTTTTGTCGGGTTTTCTGGTCGCTCCTACAGACCGCAATTATCGGACCGGCCAAAGAATATACACGCATGGTTTGATAAAGATCGGTCAATATTTAGTGGGTCAAATGGGCACTGGCTTTTGTGTGAAAAATGAGGACATAGACCCGAGAAGTTGATAGTATATACAAGAGGAGTGGTTGACCTTTAATTTGATACAAATTATATGGTCGTATGTATTCGGATGTGGGAGTTATATTTAAATATTTATAGGTGCTTACGTATTCATAAAAAAACATCGGTAGAAATTTAGAGTTCCGTGGTAGTTGTGTAGGGTACCGTATGGTCGGCCCCGTCCGACTATACTGCCCCGCTCACTGGTATTATTTGAAGAGGTATCATTGAGTTCAAAAATGATTAATACTGACCCAAGTTGGTCAATGAAAATACCGCATAAAAGTAGTCAAAATGAATAATTTTAGTAAATAAAAGTATGGAACTGGAATTCGACATCTGTCAAACACAGGGTGAGATAAAAAAAACTGCAACAAAGTTAAACGCCATAATTTTTACATATTTTTAATTTTATTGAATGAAAGCAACAAATGTCGGAAATAGCATTAAATTTTAAAATAAGTTTAGATTTGTTAGAATTGGTCACCTTTGGCACGAATGAAACCGTCACATGCTGACCGAATGTTGCTCTGAGGTATTTTGGCCCATTCACGGCGAAGCGCTGAAGGTGTCGACGCTATGGATTTTATTATTGCCAAACTTGCTTTCCAAAATACTCCAAACACAATAGTCCAACGGATTGGTATCCGGTGATATTAGTGGCCATTGTACCCTGGACATGAAGCGTGGAACCTCAATTTATAACCATTCACATGCTGCCCGAATGTTGCTCTAAAGTATTTTGGCCCATTCCCGGCGAAGCGCTTGCTTGAGGTTGAGCGACACTTTGGTATTTCTTAGTGCCAACCTTGCTCTCCAAAATACTCCAGACACAATAGTCCAACGGATTGGTATCCGGAGATTTTGGTGGCCATTGTGCCCTGGAAATGAAGCGAGAAACCTCATTTTGTAACCATTCTTGGGTGGCGCGTGCTGAGTGCTATGGTGCTGAGTCCTGTTGGAAGGTCCAAGGTCTGCGGCCAAAATGTGTGCGTTTCCAAGGTTGTAATACACCCTCCAGAATATTTTCGCGATAATATTCGGCATTTATTCTGATGCCAAGGTCGATAATTACGAGCGGAGAGCGACCATCGGCTGTTATGGCTGCCCCCACCATCACCATGGCCGGCGTGTGAGTTCTGGTGTCCAACCGAAAGTGCACATTTTCAGCTGACCTCTTTGGAAAAGTAAACACGATAATTTTGTTTGTTTAGAAACTGCTGGACAGCGAATGTTTTCTCATCGGAGTAAACCAAATTCGGCATTTTCTCCACTTTTGGCCAAGTGAGTCTATTTTCTTTCTGTTGCGGTGTAAGTTCTTGCACTTTTTGGAATTTCAAGGGCTTTACCCGGAGCTCATTTTTCAATATTTGCCGAATGGAATATTGCTATATGTTCAGCTCACTAGCCATATTTCGGCCACTGCGACGCGGGCTTCGATCAAGTCGCATCTTCATTTTTCGAACCATTTCTGCTGATGTTGTTGTTTTCTTCCGTCCACTTCCTTGACGTCAGGGTACGCCTCGTTGTATAGCACATCTCCGTACTAAAAACTATTACTATTGACCAACGTTTTAGGGTAGCCCCCATATACCGGTACCCCCAGTATTCGGCATTATAGGGATTTTCGACAAGTTTTTCCATCGACTTGGCTGTAATTTGGTATATGGGGATTTTTGATTTTTGACCCTTCACCACACTGTGGTACAGGGTATTATGTCTTTGTGCATATGTTTGTAACAGGCGAAAGGAAACGAGATAGGCACTTGGTTCCTTTTGAGAATATGCATAGAATCACTTTCTGAGTCGATTTACGCATGTCCCTTCGTCTGTCCGTCCATGTATTTTTGTGTACAAAGTACAGGTTGCATTTATGATCCAATTTGGATGAAACTTGGCATAGGTAACTTAATTGACCCAAGGACGAACCCTATTGAAATTGGGAAAAATCGGTGCAGATTTAGATATAGCTCCCATATATATTTTCGTCCGATTTAATATTAATGGTGCACCAAAGTCCCTATATATCTCTCGTTTTGCACGAAATTTGACACAGCGTATTGAATTAGGTCTATAATGATGTGTGTTAAGTTTCCTGAAAATCGGTTCAGATTTAGATATAGCTCCCATATATATTGTCGTCCGATTTAATGTAAATGGTGCACCAAAGTCCCTATATATCTTTCGATTTGCACGAAATTTGGCACAGCGTAATGAATTAGGTCTAGAATGATGTGTGTTAAGTTTCCTGAAAATCGGTTCAGATTTAGATATAGTTCCCATATATATTTTTGTCCGATTTAATGTAAATGGTGCACAAAGTCCCTATATATCTTTCGATTTGCACGAAATTTGGCACTGCGTAATGAATTAGGTCTAGAATGATGTGTATTAAGTTTCCTGAAAATCGGTTCAGATTTAGATGTAACTTCTATATATGACCAAATAAAAGTTTAGTATCGGTTGCAGAATGAAATGTTTATGAATCCAATTTCATTCCTATAAAAATGCGACGTCTGTTAGGATTCATCTGTTGAATATACCCAAAGTGGTGAAGGGTATCATATAGTCGGCCCCGTCCGACTTTACTACTTTCCTTACTGGTTTTCAATCAAATTTGCTCTAATTTGGCCTTTTCGGTTCTCAAAACGTTATCAACACATCTACGCACTAAAAATTACTAATATTGACTCAAGTATTTTGAGAATTTTGGACATGTCCTTTAACCCAGTTGGCAGTAATTTGGCATTTTGTATTCTCATTGGCTGTCAGATCTCACTACCAAAAAAAATCAATATGGATCCACACAGTCAAAACCACCCCAAGAACTGAAAGATCGGGGGTACCGTTATATGTGGCTATCAGAAAAAGTTGACCCATATTTACAATTTTTAATGGAAAATTTGGTACCCAATAATAACCCAATGAACCAAATTTCAGCGTATTCGGGAGCTATGTCTAAACGTGGACCGATAAAGCCCATCTTCGAACCTGCCTGTAAACAAAAGGAGACTCTATGCTAATTTTTGGCGACATCTCAATTCGTTTAGGGTGATTGCATGATTAGATCGGCATAGAATTTTACGCTGATCAAGAATATATATAATTTATAGGGTCGGAAATGACTATTTCGATGAGTTACAAACGGAAAAACAAAATGAATATACCCTCCATGCTATGGTGTGCTAGGCGCTGGATCACTTTTTTGGTGCTAAACGAAATAAACTTATATCTAGGACTAAAAGTGCTAAATTGATGATCATATGGTCGACCCCGATCGACTTTTCTACTTTCCTTACAGGTTTTTATTGGTTTTGACGCAAGCTTTGGTTCTTAACTCATTAGTTTTTCCTCACTTTCAGTATCCCGCTTATTATACAAAGCAAAACGGATATTAAAACTTGTTTGCTGTTTTAAAAGCCAAAATAAAATGTCCATAAACAAACACACACTATCTAAACCAGTACAACAATAGACCAAAAAATGTAGAGCAGCATCTTTTTGTTTGCTATTTGTCATTAGCATAAATTGATCCAATTTCTTTCTTTTTTCAGAAGCAGAAATTATCAAATAAATCATATTCCAATACCATTTAATCCCAAAATCTTAATTGTTTTCGAAAATATCATAGAACAAATTTTCTGTATAAAAACAACGGCAATCTTCTAAAAAGGCAACAGTTTCTAAAACCACTTCCAACCTAGAAATAACAATATAATTTGGAATACCACTAAATATGGTAAATATCGATTCGAACATAAATTTTGTAGTTTGCCATATTTATTGTATTATTTTAATATTTTAATTATTAGAAATTCCTAACAATTGCCTTGTTCTGTTTGGTGGCAACATCCTGTGCTACCACTGTCACCCTCACCAGTGGTTTGGTACCCGTTGCCACGGTTCCTGTAGCTCGTTATGCCGTTCCTGTCACCGTTTCACGAGAAATTGTACAAGCTGCTGCAGTTCCAGTAGCAACTACCCAGTATGTACAAGCAGCTTCGGTTCCTGTCGTTAAATACGCCGTTCCTGCTGTTGTTCGTCGTTTAACTCCTGTCACCACTACCACTGTACTTCGTCCAGCTATTGTTTCGACTAAAACTGATTATTTGCATAAAAATTAATTGTTATTCGGAATTAGCCTGATCATGAACACTGTTTAAACTTGAATAAAGATATTGATATCATACATGTTATGCATTATTTTTATAAAATTCAAATCATTGAAAAATTTAGGTAAATCCTCGTAGTAGCCATTGCTTATAGTCTGTTCCCGTACTGCAAGAATCTCCTAGTTTTTAGTACGATAACAATTTTTCCTTTATGATTTAGGAAAAAACAGTACAAATTAGTAGATTCTTGGAGTAATGTGTGTGTGTAGATATTGAATATTGATTTTATATACATATTTTTTGAAATGTATTATTGATAGGGGATTACTTATTGAAAAAGTTTAGACCTATATACATATACGTAGTTCGTCGGATTCATGTTTACATTGAATCCGATGTCGTGCAATAGCATGTTTTTAAATTATTATATCGTTCTACACACT